GGAGGAGAAGGAGGAGGAGGAGGAGGAAGGAGGAGGAGGAGCCCGCACCTATAGGCTAGGCTACGAGAGGCAGGAGCAGGAGGAGGGGGATGAGGAACAAGAAGTAGAAACGGGAAGGAGAAGGATGAAGGGGAAGGACAGGAGGAGGGGAAGGAGTACACCCCGCCTGTTGGATCAAATGGTCAAGAGGTTCGGCCACCACGCTCGTCACGGCAGCCATCCAAGTGAGGTCCGGGTCCGAGGTCCACTTGAGGCTCCGATAGATCTTGGACCTGACCCTCTTGTGGAAGTCGTCGTTCTCCTGCTCGTTTTGATCCTCGGCTCGAATCGCATCCCACCTCGGAAAAGCTCGCTGGAGGGCGCGCGGTAGCAAGCCGTTGAGCAGAATGCCGCAGACCTGCATCGCCAGCGCGCTAGCACATGCACCCCATCGGGACACTGCTGGCTTCGTCGCAAATCCACCGAAGAGCCCAGAACCAACGAGAGCACCGTAGACCAACTTGCACGTCGCAGTCCGCACGTCCTCGTTGTGCTCGCAAGCGGCCCGCTGGTACGTCTGCACTGGCCCCCTGCGCCAGTCGCCGTTCAACACGCTCACCAAGCCAATGGCGCCCTGTCGAATCCCGCTCCCCTTGGCGTCGCTGACTACGCACCCAGGTAATATGCCGCCTCTGATCTGCTCCTGGAAACGCACAATCGTGTGTCTCACGATGTCTTTGTTCATGCTGACGCATGTCGCATTTGGCGCGCCCGGGAGCATGACCAGCTCGTCGTTGATGATGGCCTCCAGCGCCTTCCAAATCTGCTCGCGTCGGTGCTGGATGCTGAACACGAACTGGAGGGCGTGGCAGTTCCCGATGACATCCTTCTCACGCGTGGCCATGTGGACGATGCGGTGGATCTTGTGAGCCACGCACCCCCCAGGAGAAAAAAGGATTCGAGGGCCGAGCTGCTCCGCCATGAAAGCCTGCATCCTCAATTTCACCCTGCAATTGTCTGGCGCGTCGTTGACGATGACCCAGCAGTCGCACTCCTCCGCCCAGGCAGACAATTTAGCAGCAGAGAAAAAATCCCACGCCTCATCAACCGACGAATATGTGCACGACGAGTTCCCCTTCTGCAACACTACGGGCGGGGTATGCAACACGCGATGCTCGAACTTATCTTCATCTGAAATCCACTGGAACTCGCAGCGCTGCGCGAATATCTCGACGACGCCTGTCGAGGTGCAACCTTTTGGGAACTGCTTCTTATACTCCGTGAACGGGACGGCGCGCCATCGAACACCGCTGTGGGTCGACTCCTTGACCAAATATCGGGCATGGGGCTGCAGCTGCTCCTGCATGCCGCCGAAGCGCACTAGCATCGGCGTCGCGTCGAAGCCTCGGTCGATCAAGAGAACGCCAGACTTGCTGAGGACACCCTGCAAACTCTCGAAGGCCGCCCTCTGCGCAACGTCAGCGAGAGCAGCAACAGTCGCAATGGCCTCTGCGACCCGGTGGTTCGCCATGATGTCGCAACCGTCGCCGCCTCGGTTGCGAATGTCACCGTGGCCGATGCCCTTCCACATGTGCCTGAGGTAGCCCTCGGTGGCAAGTCGCCTGTGCTTGGGGCCTGCATCTCGAGGAAAACGGGCGCCCGCAGGGCCATCGTCATCATCATCATCTTTGACTGCGACAGTGTCACCACTGCGCAAAACCAGAGCATTCCAACCCGTCGCTAAGCCCGCGTACTTCGCATCCGACGTGTGCGAGGCCCTCTCTGCTTCCAGCGTCTTCCTCCGCATCCGGAGGAGCGCCATGTGGCCCTCGCTGCGCGGCCCCACGCCGCCCGGGAGAACGACGGCGCGCTCGTCGCGGCGGGCCTGCCCGCGACGCCGCGCGCCGAGAGCCAACACCGCATCGACCTGCAGCTGGCCTCCAGGCTCACCCTCGCCATCGCTGCCGCCCGCCGGCGCGACGAGGCCGAGGTCCAACACGGACATGGCGAGAGGCCCAACGCGGTTCGAGATGGAAGCGGCGTCGGCCGACACTTAGGTGAATGCAGGACCTGGCCTGCGACCTCCAAGACAACCCCCCCGAGACGACCCCCCAAAACACACCCCCCCCAGACAGCCCCGCAAACCCCAAGACAACCCACCAAGACAACCCTCCAAGACAACGCTCCAAGACACCGCCCAAATACAACCCATCCGACATACGCCCAAGAAAACCCCCAAAACAACCCCCCCAGACAACCTTGCAAGACACCCCCCTAGGACACCCCCCCAGGACACCCCCCAAGACACCCCATCCAAGACGCCCCCCAAGATAACCCTCCGAGATAACCCTCCAAGACACACCCCAAGACAATCCTCCAAGATAGCCTAGCCCTCCAAGACACACCCCCCAAGACAACCCACCGAGACACCCCCCCGAGACAAGCCCCAAAAAAGACAATCCTCCAATATAGCCCTCCAAAACACCCCTTCCAAGACAACCCCCGAGGACAACCCCCCAAGACAACCCTCCAAGACAACCTTCCAAGACGCCACTTCAAGACAACCCATCCGACAACCCTCCAAGACAACCCCCCAAGACAACCCACCGAGACGCCCCCCCAAGACAACCCACCAAGACCACCCCCGAGGAGGACTGGGCAACGGTACGATCGGACTCGATTGGACAGGACACGCGAGAAGACACAATACCTTTCCGAAGGCCACATTGCCGCAGGAATGCAAGAAACATGGGTCGCGAGACACGCGACACAAGGGTACCCTTGATTTGGCAAGGTCGACCTACTAATATGGGCCGACTGTAGGGCCGCCAAACCTGTCCGAACGTGGCTGATCCAACGTCGCTTCCCCCTCCTCCTCTTCCTTTTCCTCCTCCTCCTCCTCCTCTTTCTCCTCGTCTCGGCGACTCCGAAATGCATGCTTCGCTAAGGGTGTGGTTGGCAACCGGCACCCTGAGAGGCGCCCTGGGGGGCGGGCGAGGACCTCGGTCTCTGCCACGCCCCGGGGAGGCCCAACGAGGACGGCGTCGCACCCCCCGGGCCCCGACGGCGCCGATCGCAAACTGCGCCCCGGCGTAACCGCGCCCTCCGTAGTCGCCGATCCTCGATCACTCCTCCTCCTCCTCCTGCTCCACCTTTTCCTCCTCGCCCTCCTCCTCCGGAGGCCCTCTTGGGCCATTTTATTTTTCATGTTGGGCGCTGCTATGGGTCGGCCCCCCCCCCCCCCGCCCAAACGCGCGGAGGGGGGAGAGGGGTTCACCTCCCCAGCAGGGAAAGGAAGGAGGTTGGAAAAGGAAAAACGCCCCAAACCGCGCGCGCCCAGAAGGCCGGCGGGATCGACGTCCCCCGAAGCCCCCAAGAGGCCCAAGCAAGCTGCAATACGGCTCAATGCGGTTTCAGGAGGCTTCGAAAATATACGAAGATGAATGGAAGAGACCGTCCAGGACGGGAGTCTTTTGTTTGCCGGCCGTAAGGGGTCTCACGGCCGGGGAAAAAACTATTGGGGGAAAGGGCCTGGGCACCCGTGGGCAACGTGGTCCCAGTCGGGTGGGAAAATGTTGACAGGTGTCTCCCTCCTCCTTCCCCTCCTCTGAACGTGCGCCTCCTCCTCCTCCTCCTCCTCCTCCTCATTCTCCTCCTCCTTTTCCTCCTCCTCCTCCTCCTCCTCCTCCTCCCCCCCCATCCCTCACGTGATCCTGCGCCTCTTCCTCCTCCTCCCCCCTTCGTCCTCCTCCTACAGGGAGCCCATGAAAGACGCGCGCGCCCAACAATGCGCAGGAACGCGGCCCCTCGATCCGCGAGGCTGCTCGCGCCATGCGAACATTTGCGCACTTTTCAATGCGTAAACGCGCGCTCTCGAAACCAGCGCGGGCTCATGTACACGCACGTCCTTCTCTCGCTCCTGATATTCCTTGCCCTCCTTCCTCGCCCGCCTCCCCCTGCCCCTTTCGGGCCGGGCGAAAAGGGGGGATAGCAAAGGAGGTTTTGATAATCAGCTCGCGTAGCTGATTTTCCATGCGCCCCCCGGCGCTAGAGGCGGCCATGCGCCGAGGAATGGGCCCCTTTGTGGGGCCGAAGCCAGCTGCATGCAGCAGATTTCGCAGCCCCCTCTTTCCCAATCCTCCCATTCGTCCGGCCCGACCCTTGCGCCCCCCCCTGGTCCAGGAGGCTTATCCCCTTCAAGTTGTCGAACATCATGCGCCGTCGCCGTCGGCCGGGCCCCGCCCCGCCACCAGAACCACCAACAGCGGCAGAGCGGCGGGGAGGGGGGGAGAACGGAAGGAAGACTGGCGCTGGTTCCTGACACCGCGGGGATCGTTCAACGTTTCCCAAAAAATCGGGAGCGTTCGACACTGGGCCAACCCAGGGCCGCCTGCGGCGCTCAACCTTGAACGCCCGAGGCGAAAACAAAAAACGACGAGCGCTCTCAAGCGAGATCCGTGGGCGGAGAGAGATCCGCAGGTGCGGATAAGAGTGACGGGGCGGTGGGAGCGTCGGCGGTCTGCGAGACTCGTAGGGCGACGAAATCTATACATATCCACTGCTCCCTGGCCAGGCCCATCCTCAACCCCGCAGCGGTGTATACGCCACGCCCTCCTGGCTTGGCCAGGAGGGCGCATACACAGCCCCTGGGTTCAAGATGGGCATGGTCAGGGAGCAGTGGATATGTATAGATTTCGTCGCCCGAACTCTGGAGAAACCCGCCGCAGGCGCCAAAGTTTCACAAATTATACAACGAGCCCTCCGCAAGCGCCGATTTTTTTTCAAGCCAATGTGGGTCGGTCGCGGGTGGGTCGTGGGTGGGTGGGTCGCGGGTGGGTCGCAATTGGGTCGCGGGTGGGTTAAGGGTGGTTCGCGGACGCGGGTGGGTCGCGGGGTGGGCCGCGGGTGGGTCGAGGGTGGGTCGCGAAGTGGGTCGCGGGTAGGTCGCGGGTAGAGTCGCGGGGTGGGTCGCGGGGTGGGTCGCGGGGTGGGTCGCGGGATGGGTCGCGGGGGGGGCGACAACAACGCCAACAACAGCGACAACAACATCAACAACAAGAACAAACTGAACAACAACAACGCAAGAATCATCAATAACCTGCGGACAATCAATGAATGACCGTTCGCCCCCACGCTCTGATCATATATGTATAGATGATACATCGTGTTTATATGTATATATGTGTATATATACATATATAGGTATGTATATAAACATATATATATATATACACGTATATATGTGCATATACATATACATATTTATACATATATAAGTGTATATGCTATATATGTCACGAATGTTACGTAACACCTTATTCGTATTTAACGAATATTACGTCTCATCGTATTCACAGTATTCATATTTAAATATATGTATGTATGTACATATATATATACACGTACATATATATATATATATATGTACATACGTCTACATATATATATATATGTTTATGTATATATAAATATCACGAATATTACGTATCACATTATTCGTATTTAACGAATATTACGTCTCATCGTCTTCACATTATTCGTATTTAATTCTTTTATTTATGTTGCGGTTCTCCAGAAACGGACGATTCGCATTAGATCGGGGCCGCTCAAGTCACGACCGATCGATCGCGATCGCCCGCGACCGATTCGGGAAGCGGTCGCGATCGGTCGTGACCGATTTGGAGTGCCGACGGTCGCTACGAATTGGGACCGCCCAAACTTAGCATCCGGTGATCTGGGATGTCCGAGATCTGGCCCACGCCTGGAGCTGCCTCGGGATGGTGGACGCGCTGGTGTCTACTCGGGGTGGGGTCCCGAGCTTGCGCCGGCCAGGGGGGGAGGATATCCAGGCAGCGCGGCTCACCACTTCGGAGGGCGCCCGCTCCTCCCGAGGATCGAGGATCTTGGACCGAGGAGGTCTTCGAACGAAGGGGTTGGAGGCGGCCGGGGGTCTGAACTGGTATTGGGACCCCAGAAGCTCTGTCAGGAAGGGGGATGCAACTAATTTCAACTCAAACATCAGTTCCGGGACCTTCCTGGGGGTCCATCTGGTGCGGTTGGTCACCCCAGATCACTTCTTCACGGTCCCGGGACCCGAACGGTCCCCAGAGGCCGAGAAAGGCGGAAGACCTTCCCGAACCCAGCACCTCGGACCTGCCAATCCTTCCAGCTCGGTCGCCACCTCTGACCCCCAGCCGGCTCCGAGCGCCAGCTCCTCCTGAGGATCGAGGATCTTGGTCTCTGGACGAGGGGGGGGCGTCCCATGACCTGCGCCGCGGCGGGGCCTTCTGGAAGAGGCGCTCCGCGGACCTGGCGTCGGGCTCCGGGAGCCCAAAGTCCACGTGCATCGTGCGCATCATGGCGAGGGCCGCCGGCCCCCCCGAGGCGAGCTCTTGGTGCGCGGGGCGTGACGGGCAGGCCCCTCGCCTGCACTCCCTCGGCGGCGGCCACGGCGATTTGAGCGGTCGCGACCGGCCGGTCGCGACCGACTCGGCAAGCGGTCGCGATCGGTCGTGACCGACTTGGGGTGCCGACCGTCGCGACGAATCGCGACGGCCCAATCCTGGCGTCCGGTGATCTGGGATGTCCGAGGTCTGGCCCACGCCCGGAGCTGCCTCGGGCTGGTGGTCGCGCTGGTGCCCACTCGGGGTGGGGTCCCGAGCATGCGCCGGCCAGGCGGGGGGTCCCTAGCCTGCTGGCGGACATGCATAGATCTCGTCACCTTACACAGGGGGCCTAAGGAGGGCAGTGAGAGGCCAAGGACGGCCGAACACCGAGAGGCCCCTTCGCTCTTGACCCCATGTCGTCAAAGTGATCCTCTGCACGAACCTCCTTGGGGTCGTCCCCGGAATCGCCCCGAGGGCTTCGCGCATAGTCGTCGAAGAGCAGGCAGTCCTTCCCTTCTGCGTGGGCGAGGAATATCTCCTGGCGCGCAAAAAAAACACGGCACTGGGGACTAAAATGCACGCGAAACGAAAACCTCCGTAAGCCTCTGGAGCGAGGGCTGGTGCTCGTACCGCACGCCAGAGGCTGCCTAGGAAATTAATCAGCCCACGGACCTCCCATGGAGCGCGCTCTGACCAGGCAGGTCGGATGAAAGGGGGGATCACATCAGGGGGGTTCGCGAATCAGCTCACGCAGCTGGTTTCTCCGGCGCCTCCCGGTGCCGGATGATCCAATGTAACTCGTATTCAGGAAAGCGGCCAGCGGCGGGACCGAGGCCAGTTGCATGCAATAGACTTCGTCCCCCCCCTCTTCCTGCCCCCCTTTCGTACAATCCGAACAAGGACTTCGATGCGAATCGAGCCGTGGCGACGAGGGACAGGACCGAGGGGACCAGCCCATGGGGGGGAAACATCGAGCTGGAATCGCCGAAACATCGCCGATTCGATCGCCGTTTGGGCCCTGGTGGGCTATCGGGCCCCAATCGGCGATCCTTGGGCGATCAGGGGCCGGTGCATCCTCCCCTGAACCTTGCCCCCCTCCAGCGTTGGCTGGTCTTGGCTGCTAGATCACTGCCTCGGCGAGGCGCCGCCGCCGCTCGAAGGCACCCCGAAGCTGGAAAGCTTGTGAAAGTGGCAGAGAAAAGCGCACCTCGATTCCGAACGCTGCCCCTGATAGATGGCGAACCCCACCCCCCACCCCCCACAGATTCTCAGGGGGGGGTAGGGGCAGGGTTCGCATGTGGCCCCCTATCTGAGCCTTGCCTCCCCGTGAACGTTGTCCCTGAGCCTATCCCCCCAAAGCGTTGCCCCTGGCTTCCAGGACACACTCCCCCCAGCGAGAGGTCGACGACATGCACTCGAAACGTGGACGCACGAGCATCCGTCAAGAGCACGAGCCCCATCGCCAAGAGCCCAAGGCAGCATGGAGATACGTCAAACGAAAGCCATTGCAAGGTGGAAGGCCCAAACAAAGAACATCAGGGTACCCCTCCAAATTCATGCCGACACGTCAACTGGTATCGGCCAACGTTGCCCCTAGCCCATCCCCCCCAAACGTTGACTGTTCTCGGTTTACGTGTTATAACTCGCCTCTCCAGCACCCGTTCGGGACGATCGGAGAACCCCCAGGATTCCCCAGTCGAGGCGCAGCTGCTAGAGAGAACCTCCGAAAACTCCGAGCCCCTCCGAAACGCCGCGATTGAAACAAACAGACCGTCTGAGATGAGAGCAGCAAACGCTTTTAGGAAGAAACTCCCGGAAACTTTTGGTCGTTCCCATGGCGCCCAATAGCGTGCCTAAATGCGCGCTTGGGCGCTGTTGGTCGCTATTGGGCGCTGTTGGAATATCATCCGGCGCTATTGGGCGCTACGTCGAGCTATTGAGCGCTACTCGCCGATATGCCTTCAATCCAGGACGAGCGGCAACTCCTGTGTTTCACTATCCAAGATATGGTTTTTGAATCCGTAGATGTACACCCTCCATAAGCATAGATTCTCACAGGTCCGCCAGGGAGCCCAGCCTCGATCCAAGAAACACGCGCGGAGCTCAAAGACATTATGGAAATGCATGAAATTATCATTCGAACATGACAAAATGTCCTCGATTTCGGTTTTTGCGGTCCGTCACTGGGCCCCAGGACTATCGGAGCTGGATCGAGAACAAACGAGGGCGTTGGGAAACCACATCGTCGGATGTGTGGGTTATGTGAACGATTCGACACAACACCCGTTATCGGGGACTCCCACTTTCTCCCCCTCCCCCTTGGTTCAGGGACCCATTAATGTTAGGTCGGGCGTGTGCCCCTACTGGCGGATTTTGGACGAACATATAAAAATACGTATTCAAAAAATGCTCAAACATAGTTTTAAAATCGTCTCCTGACTTTTTTTACTATTTTTGAATTTGCCTACTGTAGAGGGACAGGCCCGACTTAACATTAGCGGGGTCTTCGATCAACCAGGACGTTGGCGCACCCGAGAGAACTGCAGCCGTGGGCCCAGACGATATACACAGTCCTCGCTCTCTCCGGTGGTGATTTTCAACATCCATGCTTGCGATGTCCTTGCTTCGCATGCCCTGCTTGGTAAAGCCACGATTCGACCAAGCGCTGCCTGGGAATGGCAGGCGGCAGCTAACTCCCACACGGCGCAAGAGTGAACAGTGTCGTCACCGCCCCTGCTTCGCCTCCCCGTCCACCCCGCAATGACCGTTATCGCGAGAGGATGCGTACTTCGCAGACTGCGCAACCGCGAATCGTGACGTCACCGGCTC